GACGCCTGCCAGCCCGACCAATCGTCGAGTGGCACGGCCCACGTCCATTCCCCTCGGCTCGTCGAGAGGGCGGGCTCACGAACGATCGTCGTCAGACGGTGTTCGGTTCGAGGTCCCTGCATTCCCCTTGATGCCAGCCTTTCCGTTTTGCCGCAACTTTCCCCCTCTGTCTATGTTCCGACAGAGACAGACTCTCACCCCCTCCCCCGTTGTTCTTCCCCTCGTGCTGGGAAACCCGAATAGCGGAGCGCTACCGTGCCATCGGTCATTTGTCTCTTTCTCTCTTTCTCTCTCTCTCTGTTGCCCTCGAACGCCCACGGGTGTGTAAAGTCGCGTACACGTTATATCGTGTGTGCGGCCGTAGGGCGGGCACGTGGGTGAGGGGCACCGGGGGAGGTACATATATACGATTTACATATATACGAGCGTACCGTTTTCCCCTCTTCGTAGCCACGCCGGCGGTGGCCGAGCACCGTCGGTATTGAAATATCCTGGCCCTGGAGAGCCAAGTAGCCGTGCAGCGATGCCGCTTCTCTTTATAAACCACTACGTTTCTGCACCGGAGACCGATCTTCCTCTCCTTCGCTTTTTCCCCACCCTTCCTCGTCGCGTGCACCTTTCCCCTTTCTTTGTCTATGCTTCCGCCCTCCCTCTGCATCCCCGCTCCGTTAACCCGTGGTAATGTTCGTAATCCAACTCGGTCGTACCCTTACTCCGAGTCGCGACGGGATGGGAGTAACGTACCCTCTTTTGCGACTTCCTTTTTCCCCTTCCCGTGGCGGATTCGATGTTCGCCGCGCGCTTTCAAGCCTCGATCAATTGCCAAGGGTTTTGTGACCAGCGTAGAAAAAAAATACGGACCGCGTTGGGCGACTTTCTTGAGCCGCGCGGTATTGCGCAACCATGGAATACACAAAGGCAACGTAGATGGCGTGCTGCGGGTACACGCAGCTTGTGCCACGTCCCCTCCTTTTCTCCTCTTCTTTACCCCGCGTACGAGTAATGCTCTCCTTTGTTCTTTGTCATCGTAGCTGCTGTGCTCGCGGCTTTGATGCAACCTCCTTAATCTCCTTAATACCTCCTTTAGGACTACGTCCGAGGTAAATGATCTCCGACTACCGGGCTATTCGATTCCATTGTAATTTTAGCCTTTGATATCGGTTACGTAATGAGCCTTGTTTGTGTACATACGTGGCCCGAATACTCGGTCAGAATAGACCCTGTATTGTTAGGACGCCTGCCAGCCCGACCAATCGTCGAGTGGCACGGCCCACGTCCATTCCCCTCGGCTCGTCGAGAGGGCGGGCTCACGAACGATCGTCGTCAGACGGTGTTCGGTTCGAGGTCCCTGCATTCCCCTTGATGCCAGCCTTTCCGTTTTGCCGCAACTTTCCCCCTCTGTCTATGTTCCGACAGAGACAGACTCTCACCCCCTCCCCCGTTGTTCTTCCCCTCGTGCTGGGAAACCCGAATAGCGGAGCGCTACCGTGCCATCGGTCATTTGTCTCTTTCTCTCTTTCTCTCTCTCTCTGTTGCCCTCGAACGCCCACGGGTGTGTAAAGTCGCGTACACGTTATATCGTGTGTGCGGCCGTAGGGCGGGCACGTGGGTGAGGGGCACCGGGGGAGGTACATATATACGATTTACATATATACGAGCGTACCGTTTTCCCCTCTTCGTAGCCACGCCGGCGGTGGCCGAGCACCGTCGGTATTGAAATATCCTGGCCCTGGAGAGCCAAGTAGCCGTGCAGCGATGCCGCTTCTCTTTATAAACCACTACGTTTCTGCACCGGAGACCGATCTTCCTCTCCTTCGCTTTTTCCCCACCCTTCCTCGTCGCGTGCACCTTTCCCCTTTCTTTGTCTATGCTTCCGCCCTCCCTCTGCATCCCCGCTCCGTTAACCCGTGGTAATGTTCGTAATCCAACTCGGTCGTACCCTTACTCCGAGTCGCGACGGGATGGGAGTAACGTACCCTCTTTTGCGACTTCCTTTTTCCCCTTCCCGTGGCGGATTCGATGTTCGCCGCGCGCTTTCAAGCCTCGATCAATTGCCAAGGGTTTTGTGACCAGCGTAGAAAAAAAATACGGACCGCGTTGGGCGACTTTCTTGAGCCGCGCGGTATTGCGCAACCATGGAATACACAAAGGCAACGTAGATGGCGTGCTGCGGGTACACGCAGCTTGTGCCACGTCCCCTCCTTTTCTCCTCTTCTTTACCCCGCGTACGAGTAATGCTCTCCTTTGTTCTTTGTCATCGTAGCTGCTGTGCTCGCGGCTTTGATGCAACCTCCTTAATCTCCTTAATACCTCCTTTAGGACTACGTCCGAGGTAAATGATCTCCGACTACCGGGCTATTCGATTCCATTGTAATTTTAGCCTTTGATATCGGTTACGTAATGAGCCTTGTTTGTGTACATACGTGGCCCGAATACTCGGTCAGAATAGACCCTGTATTGTTAGCTTGTAACGTAACTTCCTACCGAAAAATAGATCCTACTACATTAGTTCCAACCCGAACTTAACTTAAAATGTAAAATACAACAAATATTGTGCAAGAAAAGAATGTATCCTACGTCACGCAACAAATGAACAGAATTGCATCGCGAAATGGAGAAAAAGTACTCCACGAACTTAGTTTACGACCTAAGCATATTAAACATCGAGAGTGTCGAAAGTTTTTGCAACGAGCACCCATGTTAATGAGCCTTCGGTTCATATGAATACATCGAACCCCATTAACAATTTAAGTCCCGAGCGACGCCGTCCGTCTTTATGGCCCGAACGAGAATGTGCGGCCAAAAAAATATGCAAAATAAATAAGAACTAGTTAGGAGCCGTGTAACGATCGCGAGATGGCGGCAAGTTAATTAGAGGTATACAAGAACACGATAAACAAGAGGAAACGCGCACGAAGTCGCAGCGCACGCGACCAAGGATACAGCGGAACGATGAGGCCACTGATTCGTGTTTCTCATTATGCCGGCCGTCCATCGCGGACACCGCAATGTCGAAAGCAGGGCGTGGCACATCCTTCCTGTATCTAAATCGAATGTCTTAAATCTTTATGCTAGTGAACGCGATCATTGGAGGGTGGCAAAGAGCGTTGTCTATTTTTAATACGGTGACGTCTTTTGCGAGATCTTTGTTTTGTAATTTTCACAATTTTTGTCGGGTTTAATTTTCTGATAGATGTTTCGAAGTTTCAAGTAGTATGTAAACTTACTGGTTTTGTATTGCAACTAATAATTAATATTTGAAAAAGTAGAGAATCGAGTAAAAAGTTAAACGTTCACATTACGTTTTCGGGACCTCAACGTTAAGAAATCTTGGAGCGGTTAGACTTTTGAAGTTTGATGTTCCGAAGACTCGGAGCATTTAGCAGTTCATTCTAAGATGGTTCAATGACAATACGAAGCTGAAGAAAATACGTATAACGATTTTGAAGTGGATTTTTCTTTCGGGGGGTTGAGACGAAAAGTAAGGTTAGGTGCCCCCGACTGTTTTCGACTTCGTCAGAAATTGTTCAGTGCAATGGCACGTGAATTTAATATTGTTTGTAAATACGGTTACTCAGCGTTTAAAATAGGATTTGGTAACTCATGATTAAGAGTTTAGGATTCCCGGAATGTGAGGGTCATCGCGTCTTTTCCTACAGTGATCTTATGATTCTTTGAAAACTGCTACAAGATGTGTAGCAAAAGTCTTTCGCGATCAAAGTACATTTTCGCATTATATTATTCGATCTTCTGCACTCTCATCATTCGTGTCTGAAATAACGCGTGCAGGTTAGGAGCAAACAATCTACAAAAGATCGAGATATATTATGTGACAAGACTACCTTATTAAACACAGATAAATAAATAGTTCTACAAGGAAATTGAGAAATTCGCTATTCTTACTACATAGTGTCAAACATTTAAGTCGATAATATCGATCGAAGATTACGAAATTTCGCACAGTATAATTCTACAAAGAATAAATTTATAAATTGTTAATAGTATTGCATTCAAGAGTGGTGCTAAAATTTGAACACATAGTGGCATCATCGTTCGAGCAGTTTCGGCGCGCGCGCATGCGCGTTGCTCCGAACGAAACCAGGAGAACTAAGTTCCGAACGACGCGTGGTTGGAAAAAGGGACCATTTAATATCTCGAGATCGGCTGAAGATATTCGTATAAATCTTTTTATATATTATTCTCTACCATTTGTCATGTCTACTAATATAAAATTCATTGTCATCGGACGAACACTTTCCGAAATATTAGATGATTTAGGTTGGACCAGTGGAGACCTCTTCGAGCGCGGTTTCGAGGCTTTGATCGAGTTTCTTTCTATTTTTTAACACCGTTTCTTGACATTGTTCATTCCCCTCTCTTTCGCAATATTATTAACCAAACTCTAATGCATATTTTAACTTTCATCGATCATATAATCGCGAACGTGTTCGGGACAGAATTATTGATGATCTTTCACGAAATTCGACATTTTGTTTCCATATTTCGACATTCGTAGTCGACATTTTTCGCGAAAGTAATTTATAACTCGTTCTTTGCGTTTTTTATTTCGAAAGTTTTTTCATTCGACCAGTTGGTTGAAGTTACGCAGGTTTACATAATCAACAAGAAATACTTTTAGAAGTATTTGCAACCGGTCTCAGAAATTTTGTACCGTTAGATGTAAATTTGTTGCCCGAACGTTAATGTACTGGTTCGTAGATAAAGTTTCTTCGGGTCTAGTAAGTTCATTTCTGCCAACATTGTGGGTGTACGGATGTGGGAGAAGTAGTTCAACTAATTTGCAACTATTCGTGCATTAAGCGAGAGATTCTCGTATAGAAAGCTTCTACCAGTTTTCGAAAGTTGCAATGTACCGCACGAAGTATTTAATCACTGTTTTTCTGCGGTAATTTCTTTTTAACGAAGCTCATTATTTCTTCATATAGAAACGCTGTTTATACTTCCATGTCTTCCATTACATACATGAAATATACAATCCTCACGTTTGCTTTTGAATATTGCAAACGTAAGAGAGACGTTTGGATAACATTCGTTCAAAATCGTTTAAACGAAGAATAAATATCTTGTGTATATAAATCAAACATTAACAAAAGATTTACGATACATGATTCTCAGATTTATTTCAGCCGTAAGCGAGTTGAAAAATGAATAAACATAAACGTTTGATAAAACCAGCCCCCGTCGTTGATCTTAATGGAGTATCGTGAGTTGCACTCATAAAAAGCGTTCATATATGAGGTGTTTTCTTATCAACCCTTATTTATCACCCTCGGAACTAACCTTCTACCACTGCGTCGCAGTTTCCTTTAATCTCTAGACAATTTTCCAAAGCTGGCGCGCTAAGTTGTTAACTAAAGCTCCTTAGATTCATTAATTTTTACACCGAACTTACTTCATATTTCATTTCTTTGAAATTTTGCAAATATTCAACTATGTAAGATAAATTCTTTGAAATAAGGATCACGTACTCATTTAATATTTGTTTTATATTGAAAGAAATGGAGAATGAAATTCAGGCTATTGGTGTAACACGTATCTTTGTATCTTTCATGTAACACGAAATCTTACTTATTGACTACTTCAATGACAGGACTTCTCTATTTCTTTACCGACATGAAATGAAATTATGTATCGTTGATTAATTTGTTTAGACTTGTAACATTTCATCTCACGAACGACAATCCACTCGTTGATAAGTTTGCCATTTCTTTCAAACTAAAACCCGGACGACTGTTTCACTAAAGACCTAAAGTTACATCAGTACGTAACTCAACCATCACAGGTCTATCACAGATCCAACCAGATCTAACAATAAATCTTACGTATTTCAGTTAAATACTGAAATGGTGGTTAATCATGGGTCGTTTACTACAAGGCGTGAACGTCTTGTAAAGATAATCTTGAAGTAAAATGCATCGTTTCTGTTTGCAGGTTTTCGAGCGGCATCCTTTTGGGCACGAGCGTAGACACCCGGTAGACGAGCAGCGACCCACGTAAGTTCGATTATTAATTCACTGGCGCACAGGCTTGGCGCAATGCACCGCTCTTTATACGGAGCGACGCACCGCGCCTTGTGTGTAGAAGCGTGTTGCGGATGTACGCGTGTAGGTGTGCGACGCGACTTATGAGCCTAACGACCGCACGTCGTCGTCGCGTTATCAGCCTCGTGTTATCGCGCGAGTTCGTCTTGCGCCGATCGAGTCCGCGACTCCCACGTACGCATGGGAGACCTCTCCACGCACTCGATTAAGGGGAGGTTCTAATCGACCTTACCTTTTCATTTTTACTTTAATCGCTTTATTATTTCTATACGACACTTTGACTGCTACGTTACTCTATACCGTTTACATTTCTGTTCCAAATATATTCACTTCATATTCGTCTATTCGCTTCATATTTTCTGATTAACTTTGTCTTCTTAGCTGTATGCGGACACTGTAAATTTTTAATGAAGTCTGTTAAGTCTCTGATTGCTTCATAAGCTTTGTCTTATTAGCTGTATGTGGACACTGTCTAAATTTTTACTCAAGTGTATTACGTTTCTATTGCTTCATAAGCTTTGTCTTGTTAGCTGTATGTGGACACTGCATAAATTTTTACTCAAGTTTATTACGTTTCTATTGCTTCATAAGCTTTGTCTTCTTAGCTGTATGCGGACACCGTAAATTTTTAATGAAGTCTGTTAAGTCTCTGATTGCTTCATAAGCTTTGTCTTGTTAGCTGTATGTGGACACTGCATAAATTTTTACTCAAGTGTATTAAGTTTCTATTGCTTCATAAGCTTTGTCTTGTTAGCTGTATGCGGATACTGTAAATTTTTACTAAAGTCTGTTAAGTCTCTGATTGCTCCATAAGCTTTGTCTTGTTAGCTGCATGTGGACACTGTCTAAATTTTTACTCAAGTTTATTACGTTTCTATTGCTTCATAAGTTTTGTCTTGTTAGCTGTATGTGGAGGATGGATATCCTCATGCGTACATTTATTAACGCGATCGCCTTTTCACACGTGTTCGGGTGATGAATACTTGAGCCACTCATTTTATGAGTCTTTTATCCAATAGTAAATTTATTGTATACTTCAAGTTTCATAGACACTTCATGTAGAAAGAATAGTTTGGACAATCAGGTATGTGGAAAGTAAAATTCGTTAGGACTTTTTATGGCCTCAATATGGTCGCGTTATTATAGGATACTCGGACATTCTTAACCCTTAATTATCATGGTCGAGTCTAATTTCGTGTTGTTAAAATTGACTTTAAACGAGGTATCTTTAGTTGAATATAGTGGTAGGTGTTATTGGAAAAACTTTATTGTTTCACTCTGAAACTTCCAGTCATTTGACCGCTTCACATGTTTCCCATAATATTTTAAATTACAAAGCTTGTTAAGATTTTCTCGACATTTGTGTTGTTTTTTATCAAGCTATGGAACGTTGGAAAAATATGTACCTTCAATTATATTTAATCGTCTGTACATTTATTCTTCTATTTTATTTCTAATTTCATGTCATGCGTGCACATGTGAAGTCAATGTTAAAATAAAGATTATTTGATCGAACATCAATAGAAATACAATGCGTTACAAATAAGTATAAAATCATAAAAGTTATATTTGAACCTTGACAAAGTAACAAGCACATTAAACCGTTTATTAATAAAGTACCAAAATTCGTAGCAAAAAGTACCAAAATTATTTATAACTCCTCTTCATTCGACATCGAACAAAAAAATAACGTAAATGGCCTCGTATGCAGTTAATCGGTATGATCGTAATTCAATTACAAAATAGATTCGGCGTAACTCGTGCATGGAAGAGTGTCGGTTGCTGCCGATTTCGCGTTTTCAATCGAATCTGCATCGTCGATTAATTCCATCCATGCACGGCCGACAGATGATACCAGTAATTAGATAAACGATAAAACGTTACGACTCGTGGTGATAGCGAAAACGCGTGACCTACTTTACATACAATGGAACGCGCATAAATGGCTAACTATTCGGAACGATGCTATCGGTGATTGCTCTCGATATTCTTGCATTTACACGTGTGAGAAAACGTATTTTATTTTTTATTCTCGTAAAACGAAAACACAAAAAGCTTAGAGTTTCAATTTTTATACGGAAGAGTACGAAATATGTCTCTCAACGAATCAAAGGCTTTTTCAAGGCTTTCAAAATTGCACCCCAAAATAGTTCGTTATAATAAGTGATGGCTCGAGTTATTTTTATTTTTACGTTAAAGAAACTCGTGCTAGAAAAATATAAATTTAGTGTACAAGTTTATTTAACTCCAACGTGAACATTTTCTAATCAAAGTTTGGAAGACAAACGGAGATTCAAAGTTTTTCAAGTGTAAGATTTAAAAGAAAATTTCCAATTTGAAAGAGAAAGTGCAAGGTACAAAGAGAAACGAAAAGAAACATTTCCATGGAGGGTGGAAGGCAAAACGAAAGCAGGCAATAGAGAAAGCAGTTTGAATTTGTATCGCATTCGTGTTCAGACGCGTTCCGAGGGAAGGTCCCAGAACCTGTGGCAAACTAACAAAATGGTAGGACCCAGGCCGGGTCAAAATCGAGCAACAAGTTGCAGGCCGCCTCTGGCTCCTAAAGGGTGTACTTAAAATAAACCTTGAACCCCCGTTTCCGCTAAGAAGACGGCGAAGACTTGTAAATACCTTTTGCTACTTTACTACTGTAGAATTCTTCTGTACTTTTCGATGTTTTTCTATATTTAGTAGGTTTAGAAAATTTCACGTACACTTATAAAAATATTATTCACTGTACTACGTTAAAAGTTTATGTTATTAAATATTGCTATAGAATTTTATTACTGTTCTTATATGTATACTAACTGTTCTACATAGTAATTTTTGTCACTCGAGTACACTGAACGAAATCTTTCGTCTCAAACACGATAATAAAATCGAATAACATTAGTTAATTCCAAGCTCCATTTTCGTGAAGAATTTTGTAAAAATCCGCCGTGTTTCAATCAATTAATCGTTCAAATTTTCATTAACAACCTAACCTAACCGAAAAAATCTTTACGAAAAAATTGACCGCGAAATTTGAAAATGCGGAACACGAGTTTTGAAGATAGATTTGATTCTCGAGAGTAGATAAGCTATGGAGAGGTGTTTCGAGCGTCCGACAAGATGTACGGGACGATGTTGAACGATTAATCGAGCGATCGACCGGTATCGATTAATTTCCCCGTAGTCGAACGAGAGTCGAGCAGTTTCACGCGCTGAATTGCACGCGCGGTGATTGATAAACTCGCGGACTTTCTACGTGTTAAATTTCACGTATCCTAATGGTCTGCGAGCGTGGCGGCGTTTATGGGTCCGTTCTATTTTCGATTTCGAGCCGTAAACTCGTGTAAATCCGCCACACCCTCCTTTTGTTCGCGGACAGAACCCGCGTTGCGCCATGATTTACATCCTCCTTAAACATAAACGATCTCTCGTTAAGCACAGTTTAATCGTATCGAGTTGCGACTTAGCGAACAATCGATCGAACTATATCGCTTGGAAATACATCCCCCTAAAATTCATCGATTTCTTGCAGTTATGGTTGTGCGTTAACAAATATTTAACGTAGATATCATCGGTGATGCTCGATGTATCGTACGTAATGAGACGGAATCGATAGTTCTGGAGGAAAATCGATATTTCACGCTAGTGCCGTTCGCGGAACGCCTTTCCTGAAATCGATCGTAGCGTCCTTGTTTCTCGACGGATCTCGATGAAATTTAAAATGTAGAACTGCGAAATGGTGTAGAATCGAACGCAGAAGGAATCGTTTCGATATTTTGATCAGGAACGGAGATATTAATTAGGGGATTTGGGTCTGCGCGAGCACGGACGAAAACGCGTACCGCGTCTGCGCAGGTTTCCTGCCTCTCTCGAGCCAAGTGGAACTTTCCACGACACGAGACTCGACGACCTCGCCGTTGGTATCGATATCTCGAGGTGAGATCATCGGTTTCGATCGTTCCTCGAGACCACCCGCTTTCCCATACTTCTATCGCTAATTTTATTCATTTGTTTATCTCGTAAACTGCTAAAATACGCTTCGGGGTACTCTCACGCGATTAAACGTCGAATTAAACGCGAGAGACTTTGATTACATAAAAATCTAAGAATGTACGATTTGAAGGTTCCATGATAGAATTAATTAGTTAATTAAATCGAGATACGCGTTATAATTATCAGCAAGATCGCATAATGCAATTATATTGTAATTTATTGAAGATAATTCGCCAGGTCGAATTTCGATTGTATAATATTCGATCTGTTACTTTCTGACGTTTTTGAACGCTCATTTGCAAAGTTACGTAAGTTTCATGAATTTGCAAAGAAGATAACATTTAGTCGCCAATTCTATTTTAAACACTTAGCATTCGTTTTTTATCAGACAAAGACAAATTGAGGGAGTGTCTCCGTTTGAACGTCCATTTTTACGAATTTATTTGAGAACGAGAATCGCAAGGTAGACGATGTTTTATCATTATATTCAGGTATACTTCAAGTAATAATTACAGGTTTTACAAACATTTTACAGCTGGTTCCGCAAGTGCGTCTTACAAAAGCTGCTTCAGGCACAACTCCGTAAATTGTCGATAAATATGCTAACAAAAATTCTGATTGTTACTTCAAACATTTACGAATATTACTGCAAAACGTCATGTATGTAAAGCTTATAGTTCGCTTCAAATAAATTTGTGAAGTTCATGTTCAAAAATGGGCGTTCAAACAAAATCGCTTCGTCCATGAAAGACGTATTTTTAAAGGATATTTTCACGTTCTTTCAATTAATCATTGGTAATTCGAATGCTTTATGTGTTTGTCAACGATACAACGTTTATTTCATTGAAGTATCGTAACTTGTACTTACATCACGATGTTCTTGTCTTGTATCGAGCATGTTTTCAATTCACGGTAGATCTATGTCTAAACATTACAGAGCTATACAAAGATATATAAAGACAAAGTTATCGTTTATGTTCCCCAGGTGAACCAAAAACAGCCTGATATTTTTAGTAATCCAAGTTTCTAAGCTTGTACTCACGAATTTGACTGATGTACAAGTCAACCATCGATTTCTACGCAGCGTGTACTTCATTTTAAAATAACCTTTCGTTATGAACGTCCCAATAAAACTGCATTTTATTCAGACCTTCACAAAATTATTCCGTTCAATATGTTAGTTATTAACAATGAAGTAATTAAAGAGATTCCACGCAATTGGCTACAAAGACTGTTAATTTCCATCGTATCAGTTTCCATGCGAAGTTGCATGAACCTCGAAAGGGATTCTTTGCCCTTGTACGTTTCGCGGATGCGTTTATGCCGATGATTCCGGCGTACTGCTTTCTTTGCGGCGGAGAACCTGTTTCCAACGAATTACCAGCACCGCCGAATTCGCGTTTCCATCGAATTGATGCGCCTCGTTCTTCAAGGTTCTTCTTGTTCCTTCCAGTTCCCTTGCGAACGTTTCTGGGCGTTGATCGTACCTTGGCAGTCGACCCTCCCTGCGGGCGAACGAAAAAGCAACCCTTTCGAGATCGTTCGAAAATCAGGAGTTTATCCGGAAGAAGGAGAAAAGGGTACGTACCAGCGCGTGTTTTAGGGAAAAACCACGAGAAGGGGATGCCGAGGGTGCGAGAGAGATACGAAGACCCTACACCCACCCCGGACGATAATTCCCGTCACCATGGAAACACCCCCGAGGCGTCCCTGTGTCAGTCCACCCCCGCACCCCACAAACACCACCGTCGATCCCCTCACCTCCTACGGTCCGCTCTTCTGCCACCCTAGCCCCCCTCCTGAAGCCCCCTTTCGCGAGTCTACCAGGAACTCGTATCGATCCGCAGACGAGTTCGAGGTCCTACGTATTCTACCGGGGAGTGTTACTGACAACGGGATCTCTTCTGCGTCTCTCCCTCGTCGCTGTCCTTTTCTTCGTCATCCCCTTGCCAACGTCTCCCTTACAGACCCCCTTCGTCTTGCCGCTATCGGGAATCGCGCGTTATTGGATCTCGATTTGTATCCAGAACGTGTTTCGGGGTTTGCACGTTGTTACGCGATTTTGGCGCGAAACGGAACTTTCGATAGGGTGACGGGGTGCTTGCGGGGTATACCTCCGGAACGAGGGTTGTACTTTACCAGCTTCTCTCTCGCGTTCGGGTATCTCTCCCTCGACTCTGCGTTTCCCGAAAAGCGTATACACCTCCGGCTGTTTGTTTCTCCCTTGTCTCAGATGTTCTCCTTCCCAGTATAGACTCCGGACAGTCTCGTGACTCTTCTTCGTATACTCTCTCTAGTGACTCTTCGTCATCTATTACACTCTCGCGTTTCTGTCTCTCCCTTGTCTTCTGTCTTACGGATCCTTTCTCGTTTCTCTCTTGTAGATCCCCTCGTCTCTTTTTCCCAGTCTCTCCCCCGTCTCTCCCAACTCTTTACCATATCTCTCCCTCGTTTCTCCTGTGTCTCTTCTAAACTTCTTTAGTGACTATCTCCCCCTTTTCACTTCAACTTCGTCACTCTTTCTATTTCCCTGTTCGATACGTCGATTAGTATCCAACAAAAGCTCCGATACAGCTAATGACCGATATCGTGGTGGGGAGGCAAGGGTCGGTCAACATCGATTCGTCGAGTGATTTGGGATTTGGTTTGTGGTTACAAAGCTACCTGTAACTAGATCTAACTCCTCCTCTCCTAGCTGGATACCCGGGCCCCCTTCTGATTACTCTCTTTCCGTTCCTGTTTCTATCTTTACCCGAGTAGCGGGATTCTAGCGGGTCGCTCGTTCTCGCACGGATACGGAGCCTCTTCTTTTCATGCGTGCAACAACCTGACACGCGAACATTCCGTAATTCAAAGTTATTCCCGATTGTTTTAGCATCGAGTTCGCACATTAATCCGCTGATCGAGCTCTCCTTCTCGCGCGCGTTGTCGAAGAGTTTGCACACGAGAGTCTGTTTATCTAAGATGTGTGCTAGCGATCTTGTAATCTCTTTGTTACGCTAGCTTGTAAATTCGTATCGCGTTTCTTTTCTAAGAATATTAATTCCTAGTAATCAATTCTTACGAACAATGTTTATTTTGCCGGCAATTGACCAGGTCATCTACTTCAAACCTAGCATAGCTGTTCACCATAGTTTGTTCTATATAAAGAGAACTGCGTATTTGAGTTCGATCCAACGAATTTACGTTACAACGGTATACCAGCAATTTGCAATAACAACCATCAGGTCTATGTAATTGCGAACAATTTATCGATCGTGATTTACGGCGAACTATATAATTAAATTCATATGGCGAATGCATTACTATATATTTTCCGGTTGATATGTTGTTTTGTGCATTTTGTAAATTTGTTAATTTAATGCTTAATTAAGAGTACCTGTAAAATCAGTAATGATATAAACAATTTTCTCTTTCCCTAACTTTTCCACGTCTCTCCTCTGACTTCTTATGTGTACCTTCACAAATATGTACTGCATAAAGCTACATAGATGTCGTATGGAAGAAATGCTGTTTTAATTGGTCACAGTAAAATCTACCTGAACTGGTACATATATTTTTATTATTGATATATGCTATTGTAACTATGTATTACTGGAAGAGTACCAATTTTGTGTGAGCCAGAAGAGTCTACCTATATGGACACAGATAACCTTGTTCCTGTATTGTCTTCAGTGACATCTTTTCAGCTCTTGATGGTACCAAGTGCTCCATAAAGGTATGAATTCTTGTATGGGCCTTGTGACACTAAAGGCAATACTGGATTGAACCTAATGTTACACGGGCTAATGAACATGGCAGTCGACGCCCATAACACTAATCATCATCATCTAATGTTACAAGTATTCTTGGTCGAACTTGATGATGGTGAAGGTGTCCTCGATCGAACCTGACGATGTTACAGGTATTTTTGATCAAACTTGATGCTGTTAAGGGTGTCTTCGATCGAATTTGACGATGTTATAGGTAACCTTCATCAAACTTGATGATGTCAAAGGTATCCTCCATCGAACCTGACGATGTTATAGGTATCCTTGATCGAACTTGATGTTAATAGTATTCTTGGTCGAACTCGACGATGTTGAAGGTATCCTCGATCGAACCTGACGATGCTAATAGTAGGCTTGCTTGATGTTAATAGTATTCTTGGTCGAACTCGACGATGTTGAAAGTATCCTCGATCGAACCTGACGATGCTAATAGTAGGCTTGATCAAACTTGATGATGTCAAAGGTATCCTCCATCGAACCTGACGATGTAATAAGTATCCTTGATCAAACTTGATGTTAATAGTATTCTTGGTCGAACTCGACGATGTTGAAGGTATCCTCGATCGAACCTGACGATGCTAATAGTAGGCTTGATCAAACTTGATGATGTCAAAGGTATCCTCCATCGAACCTGACGATGTTATAGGTATCCTTGATCGAACTTGATGTTAATAGTATTCTTGATCAAACTTGACGACGTCAAAGGTATCCTCGATCGAACCTGACGATGTTGCAAGTAACCTCGATGAAACTTGACGGCGTCAAAGGTATCCTCCATTAAACCTAACGATGTTACAAGTATCTTCTATAAAATCTGACAACATCAAAAGCCTCCTCCATCGAACCTAACAACGTTACAAGTATCATTCACCAAACCTAACGATATTAAAAGCCTCCTCGATGGAACCTAACGATATTAGAACTATCTTCCATCAAACCTACCTATATCAAAAGCATCCTCGATCGAATCTAACCACATTATAACTATCATCCACCAAACCTGACGATATTAAAAGCAGCCTCGATCGAACCTAATGATATTACAAGTATCTTGCACAGACCTAACTATATCAAAAGCATTCTCCATCGAACCTAACGACGTTCCAAGTATCATCCACCAAACCTACCGATATTAAAAGCATCCACAATCGAACCTAAAGTTTCCTCGAACCCAACAAGTTACGTAATGCTCGATCAAACCTAATCCAGAAAAGTAATCAGGCAATTCAGATAGTTCTCCAGCATCGTCCGGTTTTCCAGCCGGTACCGAGAGCCACTAGAAAGTTTAGGAAACGTAGAACCGCGATGCATCGCGGTGCTGGCGTCTGGCCTCCGGGCGTCGCAAAAAGGAGGCATACTTCGCCAATCCCTCTTACTCTTTCCCTCTTCCGACGTTCACCTCTCGCGTTTCTCTCCTTCTCTCTTAATGAGAAAGAAGACTCGTATCCGCGAATACGTCGACATGCTTGCGAGAGTATCTGTCTAGCTGGCGGGAGAGACCTTCGGTTCTTTTGCCAGCCCTCTCGAGGCTCTCCCTCGTCTCTTCCATGCTTCTTCCACGTTTCTCTATTGTCTCTGTTGCGTAAAGGCCATGGAGAGTCCCTGACTCTCTCCTTGGTCTCTCGTTTCTTCTGCGAGATGTGGGAGAGTTCTGTCTCCCGCGTATTTTGCACATGGAGGTGTGGTAGACGCGTCTCTCCCATGTTTCTTCTGTCTATCGCTCTTTCTTGTCTATTCTTCGTCTCTTTCATGGTTCTCGTCTATTTCTTGTCTCTCAATCTTGCTTATTCTTTGTTTCTATGTCTTCTTTCTCATATGTTCATCATCTCCCGTCTCTATATTCGCGGACAAGCGTGGTCCACGTCTGCCTCGTGTCTCCCATGTCTCTGTCCAGTCGTAGACATCTCTCTTATGTTTTTCTCCTTCATCTCCTCTGCATAAAACCGTGGAAGAGTTCTCTCCATTGATCTTTCTTAATCTATCCTGCAACAGATCACACGTCCCATATCTCCCTTTCGTAAAACCATGAAAGAGTCCAATCTCTCCCGTTTCTTCGACTCCTTTAAAACCGCGGAATCTCCCTCGTCAAGAAGAGAGTCTCCCCGTCTCTCTTCATCGTCTCGTAGAGGCGCGAAAGGGCGTCTCTCTCGCGTTGTCCTCTCTCCGTTCTCTATTTCCCTCTTTATCTTCTCGTCAAGTAACACGCGCTCTTTCCTCTCGCGCCATTCTCTTGCTCGACTCTGCTCCTCGTCGCCGGCACCGCGACGTGCATACGGCCGTCTTCTTCTAGAGCGGCGAGTGTCTCCTTTTTTCCCGTCTCCTTCGCTCCGCTGCTCGAGAATCGCGATAAAAGCAAGGTTATTCCTGTCTCCTTTCAGCCGCTGCTCTTTTCTCTCTCGTTTTCACCGAAGGCGCGCGATGAGTCCGTTGCGGGATCCACAGCGCCGACGTGTACCAGCGACGCGTACCAAGGCGTTATCGCACGTGACCGTATGGTTCCGTTGGATTTTCTGGAGGCACTGTTTCTAGCTACTGATCAAGTTTGTTCTGAGATAAGCTTAAATGATTTTTGAAATTGTTTACTGCAGTTTCTTATGCATCGTTGATTGCATTATGACGCTTGGCTTTTATCTAGAATATGGGAGTAACGTTACAAGTGGCTAGTCTGGATAATTTTTGGGGATAAAGTTCAACAAGGTCGCATTTGTTGATGCACTGACAGCAACATATATCGGTCACCATCAATTAGCAAGTCTGCACTTCAGGTTTCATCCATGACTTTAGATGGAAAGCAACAGTAATGGTAACATTAGAAGTGACTAGTCTGGATAATTTTTGAGGATAAAGTTCAACAACATCGCACTTGTTGATGAGCTGACAGCAACATATATCGGTCACCATCTATTAGCAAGTCTACACTTCAGGTTTCATCCATGACTTTAGATGGAAAGCAACAGTAATGGTAACATTAGAGGTGACTAGTCTGGATAATTTTTGAGGATAAAATTCAACAAGGTCGCACTTTTTGATGTACTGACAGCAACATATATCGGTCACCATCTATTAGCAAGTCTACACTTCAGGTTTCATCCATGACTTTAGATGGAAAGCAACAGTAATGGTAACATTAGAAGTGACTAGTCTGGATAATTTTTGAGGATAAAGTTCAACAACATCGCACTTGTTGATGAGCTGACAGCAACATATATCGGTCACCATCTATTAGCAAGTCTACACTTCAGGTTTCATCCATGACTTTACATGGAAAATAACAGTAATGGTAACATTAGAGGTGACACTAGTTCACATAATTTTTAATAATAAACATGTACAATATCACACTTGTTGATGCACTAACAGCAGCATATATTGGTCATCATCAATTAGCAAGTCTACACTTCAGGTTTCATTCATAACTTCATACGGGAAGCAACAGTAGAGGTAACATTAGAGATGACTCTACTTCACATAATTTTTGATAATAAACATCTACAATATCACACTTGTTGATGCACTAACAACAGCAACTTGTTATCTAGAATGTACATAGACAATCTAAAAATCAAGTTTAACAAAGCTGTTTTACTTTATACCACAGCTTCTCTTACCTAGCAGTTCTTTAATTTACAAAATAGATCGAGAAGTGGGATATTAATAAAATGTGTCGCAACAGTGCAACGTACGTAACAAATGCATTTTTCATTTATTATAAATAAATGAAAATATGTATATTCAGTCTACTCATTCAAATTATAAGATCCAAAAGAAATATGATGTCGAACGACACTCGATACGGAGTGCAAGGGTTAAGAGCTCGATTTTATCGCTCCCCCATTAAATTTGACATTTATTAACGTCACGATTACCTCGGAGTTCCGAAGTATCAATAATCGCAGGATGCAGTTGAAGCGGAGCGTTCTGTTACAATATTGGTCTCGAAGATAAGCGTAACACGAGCAAACCTGCGATTTGCATGAGAAACGTTTGGTCGTATTAACGAAAGCGTGACTCAGACAAACTTTCTTACCGGGATAATTGTGGCGGTATCGGAGAAATAAACATTCTCGAGATAAAACTATCCGTATAAACATGTCCGTACGTTCGAGCGCTCTTTTGGTCCGCTTGATCGGAGTGCCGATAAAAAGTAGCGTGTAATTACAAATTACTCGCAAGAGAAGTAGCAGTTTACAAAATGTTATTATTAGCTATTATTGATAGCAGGTAAAAGTGGAAATGAAAGGTGTACCACAAAAAACGGAAAGGTGTACCACAATTCTTGTTATAATAATAATAATAAGTCCGTGAATAAAATCGCGTATCACGTAATAAAAAACACATCACGTGTTTTTTGAGTTTTAGAAGAAACGAATGTAATAACAATGTTTTGTCAAGTTTTAATAAGCTTCCTTTACCCGTTTCGAAGTCCTACATAAACGCGATTCCGTAAATTTCTCAACACGTCGTTCAACATCTTTTCTTCCCGCATTTGCTTTCATTTTCAGTGTAGAAAAATATCGATTTTAGCTTGTCGCGTCTCATTCTATTATTCGGTCGTTCGGCCGTTGAATATTTAAGAAACGAACGACCAGGTCGTATGATGCAGTTTTCCCGGAACGATCGGACCGGTGAGTCGCATCTTTTTTACATCCGTTGTATTTTAATAATATTCGTCGGCGTATCGATGCTGGAGGCCTTTGAGCGGTAACGTGAATGCTAATCGAATGGAAATCGTCGGAACGACGGGAGCGTATGTAAATACGGCGTGCTTTAATCAGCGAGCTGTCGCACGGTTGCAATGAGACGCGGACGAATGAAGGAACAATTTTCGATATATAATATGTGGGAACTAAATATTCTTTCAAATATTAGGACGTCTAAAAGGACACTTAGGTATATGGAGGAAATTTGATAAATAATTCGAAGTCAATTGACGGTGCAAACTTAAATGTTTTTAAGGATGTACCGAAGAGTGTTTCGGGGCATTGGTATTTAGGGATATTAGGGGTTCTAGGGATTCTACTGGGATGAAAATCTGGGATAGAAATTGACGAGTGTGGAGATTTGGAGACATAAGGGGGGTGTGGAGATCTAGGGTTATAGGGACCTGGGGACGTAGAGATCTAGGGGTGTAAGAATGTGGGCACTTGGAGGTCTAAAAGTATGGAGATTTAGGATTATAGGATCCCGAGGGTGTGGAAATCTGGGGATGTAAGAATGTGGGCACATGGAGGTCTAAAAGTATGGAGATCTAGGGTTATAGGAATTTGGAGATGTGGAGATCTAGGTGTGTAGGAATGTGGACACATGGAGGTCAAAATGTATCGAGATCTAGGGTTCTAGAGTTCCGGGGGTGTGGAGATGTAGCGACGTTAGAATGTGGACACATGGAGGTCTAAAAGTATGGAGATCTAGGTTTATAGAGTTGCGGGGGTGTGGAGATCTAGGGACGTTAGAATGTGGACACATGGAGGTCTAAAAGTATGGAGATCTAGGGTTATAGAGTTCCGGGGGTGTGGAGATCTAGGGTTATAGAGTTCCGGGGGTGTGGAGATCTAGAGACGTTAGAATGTGGACACATGGAGGTCTAAAAGTATGGAGATCTAGGGTTCTAGAGTTCCGGGGGTGTGGAGATCTAGGGATGTAAGAATGTGGGCACATAGAAGTCTAAACGTATGGAGGTATAGGGTCGTATGAATGTGGACACATGAAGGACTAAGAGTATGGAGATCTAGGGTTATATAGATCTACAGGTGTGATCTAGGCATGTAGGTGCTTCTGAGAGTATAGAGATCTAGCTGTATAAGAATGTTGGGTATAGGAGTCTAGAGATATAGTCATATGGATACATAGGAACGTTGTGCATAAGAATCTAACAGTACAGAGATCTATTGATAGATCTCTGTATCGAAGAGTACAGGTATCGAAGACTATAAGTAAATTTAGAGCTACAGGGCTCCAGTCGTACAGGAACCTAAGAATATAAACGTCCACGAACATAATGATACAGAAACAGTGATCTAGGAATATCTGACTCTGATATAACAATCTACAAGTATAGTATCTCAGATTACACATGAGATGCTAAAACTATACCAATACAAGAATAATGAAATTTGGACATATAAAAATCTGCCTATATAGAAATCTAAGGACCCATGAATTCCTGTAATGAATCCCACCTATGAATCCTCCCACGATAAATTTGATAGGAATATCAGCCATACATTGAAAGCCCAGTTTCATCTTTAAAGCTACGAAAACACACGGAGGCTGTGAAATATCGAGGATAAAAGTCGCGCGATGTGTTGAAGAAATTTCACACTCGAGCGTGTCGCGTTAATTAACCCTTTGCAGTTCGATATCGAGTCTGAATCGATAGCAACTACTGTCGCGCCAACTTCCGCGTGAACTGCGTTTCGACATTGTTTTTGTACATTGAATAATTCCACGGTAGACTGCGTTTTCAACGGATGTTTGATACGGTGCAATATTTTGTGGTGTTACGGAATTGATTAGTAAACCGTTAACCGAAGACGTTTTTAAAATGAATTTAAGATAAAGAAGTGGTTGATTTTGAATGTGGTGTATTGTTTCCTTCGGTTCGGAGAAATACTGAGGTAGTTTCACTTTTTCGCGAAGAATGCATATCAATCGAGTAACGTTTATTAGATTCCTCGTTCTGTTACGTTTGTGTATTACCGGTTGTTATTATCTTCATAAAATACGGCTTCCTTCTTCGCTACGAGGTGGCTTCTTTCGTGCGATAAGCATCTCTCATTGAGGCTTCTATGGCCGCGTTTTTCCCCGCTTCTTTTCCTTTTTAACGCCGATCATTTCTCTTCTACCTGTACACGCGTTTACACGATAAACATCGGACGTTATAGCTGCTTAACGATCTTATGCACCGACTTATGTGCTAGACGTTTGCCATTAACTATTATACGAACATCGGTTTCACCATGGCTGAACTTGTATACTAATCCGTGGGATCTCGTCGACCTCCGTATATTTTCATTTTCCCGATATTAATGCATTGTTGTAACTGGGACTTTTCGATGGACGGGGCTTAGATTGCCGCGTTCTATATTGCCACGCGTTATATCTCTTCACGCTAAGTCTACGCTGGGTTGTAAAGTGTTGTGTCGCTACGTTAGATATTTGTGCCTTAGACTTTTGCATGTCACAGTTTTGCGCGCTAGATATTTGTGCGTTAGATTTGTATGCGTTAGAGTTTTACGCGCTAGATATCTGTGCGTTAGACTTCTACGCGTCAAAGTTTTACGCGCTGGATATCTGTGCGTTAGACTTCTACGCGTCAAAGTTTTACGCGCTGGATATCTGTGCGTTAGATTTCTACGCGTCAGAGTTTTACACGCTGGTTATCTGTGCATTAGATTTCTACGCGTCAGAGTTTTACGCGCTAAATATCTGTGCGTTGGACTTCTACACGTCAGAGTTTTACGCGCTGGATATCTGTTGCGTTAGACTTCTACACGTCAGAGTTTTACGCGCTAGATATTTGTGCGTTAGATTTGTATGCGTTAGAGTTTTACGCGCTAGATATCTGTGCGTTAGACTTCTACGCGTCAGAGTTTTATACGCGAGATATCTGTGCGTTAGACTTCTATGCGTCAGAGTTTTACATGCTAGATATCTGTGCGTTAGACTTCTACGCGTCAAAGTTTTACGCGTTGGAT